CCCCCCGGAGGAATGCTATAATTAGATTGTTGCTTCAATATCCAGATGATGAGATGTGTGCCACTCTCTTTCTCTGGAGCACAGATACAAATCTCTTCCCTCTTCTCCTTTGTCTCAGTCTCTCAGTCAGCTGGTGAGGGGCCTGCGAGAGCCCCCAAACCACCACTCAGCCCATCCTTGTGTCTCTTTTTCCACCCCCCCCCCTACCCCCCTCCCCCTCCTCCTTTTCTCTTGCTGTTTTTCTTCCACTCTTCAACTCATCATCTTCCCCTCTCCTAATCGCATTGCTCATTTCCCATTGACAAGTGAGAATGAGACGGAGAGGGGTGGAAAGGGAAAAAAAAAAAAAAAAGCACAAACTTTTTAAATCCCATTGACCTACTTTGCCAGATATTTCTCTGGGAATTCACATTAGCCAAAAGAAAAAGTCTGAAGAAGAAATGTTTCTCTTTTTTTTTTCTCCCCCACTGCTTCTTCTGTCTTCCTCAAAAACTCTCGTCTTTCTCTTTCAGCTGGAGGCCATTTTCCTCGCATCCTGAATTTGTGCCCCCACCACTAACAGCACATTATACAAGTGGATAAACGCCTTACAGTGGCGCAGCCGACACTTCGGAGCGCTGTTGCCACTTCCTGCGGTGGTGTAAGAAGCATGACATTGGAGTTATAAGAAGATGCTGTGGGAGAGAGACCTTTTCGTGATTGATGGATTTTGGTGGAGGAGACAAAACTGAGGGGCGGGGGACTTAAAGCTACCAAGCCTCGAAGACTTAATGCCAGTCCCATACTGAGAGCCTAGTAGAAGCAGAGAGAATAAATGGAAAGGAAGACAATTTAAGTCCTTTGTTTTAAGTCTCCTCCCTCAGGGAGAGCAGATGACCCTGCTAATGACAGTCAAAACTCCCAACTCCCTTGAGTGTGATGGTGCTGCGCTGTGGGAGGGGGTTCACAGACCTGCCTGAAAAATTGAAAGGTCCTGGAATATTCAGTTCTCCCTGGGCGCTCCGCTGGGGGTGCACATGCAGAGATTGGTATTCTGGGTGGGAAATGTGCATGGTGGGTAAACCCAGCAGTGGTAGAGATGGAGAACCCCCCCATCCTCTGAGCAGTGTGTGTGTGTCTGTTGTGGTGACCATTCATCCTAATGCTGTGTTTCATGGGAAAACCTCAGGAGCGTATATCCGTGCAAAAGCAGGGAAGCGACGAGACACTTCATAAAACCTTTAGCCCTGTTGGACTGGATAGTTAACAGATTTGGACGCAAGCAGAGAGACTCATGGTGTGGATATACCTCCATGCTCCCAAACCGCAAACACAGAAAATCATCGATAAAGACTAAAACTTTCATAAAATTAAGAAAATACCCAATCTGCATTTTTAAAGCCGTTAAATTGTCACTATGTTGTTAAAACGGCCACTATGTTGTGACATTATGTAAGACAGATAAGCAGCTCACTTATGTTTCCTGTAGGATGGATTTCTGGGCAATTTGAGGTGGTGAGACATTTGGCAATATGTTTTGGATCATTAGCCACTCACTTATTTAAAATATTCTGGTCCTTCAAAAGGTTAGTTAAGCCATTCTCTCCAAAGTCAGGAACTTTGCTAGAAAAACGGGCCCATAGCATCACAGATCTTTGACTTCACTTAAAATTTGGCCCTTTTTCCAAATACTTATTTGTTTCATGCTAGGTCCACATGGAGTGTTTGTTGCTGAAAAATCTGACTCATAGTAAAACCTCATCAATGCACACTTTAAATGACCAGCTCTAGAGT